GTAGTCTATACTCTACATCGACTTGAAATTTTGAATTTCAAATACCTCTGGCCACTGAGAACTTCTATCCAAAGAGATGGACAGGATCTCAGTGTCTGCTTGGCTGCTTGTGTCACTACATAATTCAGAACCTCCAGGGACTGGTACAAGCTCAATGATAGGGATGATTTTGATCGTTGGTTTATCTGGGAGCTCAGACAAGTCTGTGAGGTTGCATAATTCATTGTTAAATTCAGGATCTTGGTACTGTAAGGTAAAATTGTAATTTGTTTGGAGAGTGCCTTTGAGCCAGCTAATCAAATCTTCAAGTATGTATGGTCGAGGGTTCATTGTCATCTTTCTTATATCTCCCTCAGAGACGATAACTCGCATTGTTAATTTCTGTTCCATGGCCATCTGGGGGAAAAAAATGACAGACAGCTGTTTAGCAAAGTACAAATCGTCTCAGTGTCACCATAAGCTCTCCTTGCACACTGTATGCTGATAATGGGAAGACATCATTTAAATCTGACATCTTCAACACACACATAGAAGTAACACTATCACAATGAAGTTGGTAAGATCTCAAATGCTCCCTGTACCATGCAGCCAATTTGTGACAGACAAATAGAATCTCTACATTAACTGCAACTATCTTGTGAATCTGGACGAATGCAGGGAGACCAGAGCATGACCCAGAAGACAGTATCATGCCTGGTTGATACTTGATTCCATCTACACTGACAGATGCCGCTTCAAGCACCGACTCTGGTGTTGTAAAGTTTTGAGCAATTGCTGTCTGCACACTGTGAGGGAAGGTGGCAAGCAAAACTGGAGTTACCTTTGACATCTCAACTGATGGTCTGAAAAATGAGCTACAATCGAGATGGTAACTGACTGCCTTCTGGTGTCTTGTAGCAAGTGTCATGGCAACATTTTTAAAGTTCTGAGCAGTGCGAATTACCCTCTTAAAGAATTTATGCTTCCCCTCGAACCGCATTGTCCAAACCTCAGACAGGGGACCAAATTTCCTTACCAGCTGAGGATAATGTTCCACAAAGTGATGTTTTGGCCTTAAACGAAACTCTGGAAATGTTGACTGCAATAAGCGCCTGTGCTCTGCTATCTTACAGTCCAGAAAGTTAAGTGTCTCTTCTGTATGCGTTGGTGCTACAGCTAGCTCAGTAATATCTTTAAGCAGCATGAGAATTTCCCAAGTGTTGTCACCTTCAGGGACACAATGACCAATAAGAAATGGAAGGAGCCTTATGAGACACCAGTTCTCATGGCCATTTCCACCAATGGTCCCTTTACTGGAAAATCCCTTTCCAATAACCTGAGGTCGATCTGTTTTGTCACTAAATGAGTACTTGAAATACCTGATGGCCTGATTCAGCATATCTAGGGTGAAATAAGTCTTGCCTATCAGGTCTGTAAGGCAAAGGGACAATTCAACTGGAACAATACCTTCCAAAATATCATGCAAGATGTCAGGAGGGTACCCACTGACCACATGAAAGTGCTCAAGATTCTCAGTTAAAGGACATGCTCCTTTCACACCATAAGCTCGAGTCATTCCGGGGTCCTCTCTGATCTCTTGCACCTGCCTATCATGGGACTTTTTGTCTCGGAGCTGAAAGAAACCAGAACATACCTCTTGTTGTTGAGTGTCTCTACTGCTTGCCACGCAGAATCTGCAGAACTTGTCGACGGTAAAACTCTCCAGGAAACCTGCAAGAGAGTGGGCAGCAAGATTGTCAGCTGCAACATACAAGACTGTACCTTTCACACTTGCACCTAGTTGCTCCAGGTAAACACCATTCTGCTCCAATAATTTTAGATCATAGATCAGAGGTTGGAAAACCTTTGCATAACCACACTCCTTGACTGTGGAGGTATTGCACAGTAGAGCAAGTTGGATAGAGCTGAGGGTTGACCGATATTTTGAAGGTATGTTTGCAATAACCCAGTATACTGCACACATCTTGTGTTTTAGCTTTGATGTTCCAAGAGGATTGGCGACTTCAAAGTCATCAATGTAAAGTACAAGAGCAATTGTAAACTCATCTTTTGCAAGAAATGGATTTTCAGTAAAGTATTGCCCATCAGCATATGATCTGAATTCCTGAGGGACATGTACTTTCTCTGACATAGCTTTGTCTAAAACATCAGTTTTGTTAAGCAACTTCTGTAGCATAGGAACAATGGGAACATATGCAAGAGTTTTTTTGCCTTTCTCCACAACATATTCAATTGGATTTACCAGTGGAAACTCTCTACGCACATAGGCTGCTCTTTTTTTGGCAGTTCCTAAAGGTCCATCTTTGGAACAATGTGTCATCATGTTACTTTCTGACACAGCACTGATAATCTCTTTAATAACAGTCTCATCCATGTCAGCACAATATTTGTTTAATATGCCTCTGACTCTGTGTTGTACAAGTGGTTGTGAGAGCTTATTGATTTGACAGAGCTGCTCTATCACATCTTGCACTGAACTCTCTGGTATGTGTAAAACAGTGTGCATCTTTAGTAGTAAAGATGCCAAGTTGTGCTGAAGCTGTTTTTCTAAATCGTGCAGATCAGATTCAGTTACCTCATTCAACTCTTCTGTGTCCTCAATATCATCAGCATCTGACATCTGCTCTTGTGAAGCATTACTGTCATGGCTTATAATATTGTCACCAACAATTTCTGATTTAAATCTCTTTGAGATCTGTTGTTTGTGTACTTTACTCTTGTGTGCTTTGAAGGTGGAGTAAACACTGCTTTCAAAATTACAGTCTTCATAAGGGCATCTGACTTTATGATTTACTTTTAGATGTGCACGATGCAGATGAGTGAAAAAGTCACTCTCTGAACAAGACTCTGTAAATCCACACGACAGACAACTAAACTTAGTTGGTATACTTTGTTGCTGATTTGGAGTTTTTGGGTGAATGCGGGATAGGTGAACTTTTAGTGCATTTAATGATTTAAATGTGCACAGACATTTCTGATGTAACAAGGAAAAAGGCTCGGTTCTGGTATAACCTCCGTGTTTTAGCCTGTAATGTTTAAACAATTGTGCTCTTTTTTCACAGCTAAAAGGACAATACTTGCACTTCCAAATCATTATTTCATCTGTCTTTAGACTTAACTCTAATAATTTATCTTTATTTTCCCTGCAAATGAGCAAACATTAACAACATTTACCTTACGAAACCTAACAGACTGGAAAAGTCTGAACACTGACATCACATTTATTATTTTGCTAGTTTACGGCGAATTAGCTTTAATATAGGGCATTTTTAGTCACATATACATCTTAAGATACACATATTCGCTTACGTTGTCTTAAAGGAACTTACCAGATAATAGGACTTGGTAAACCGCGTAAAACAGCCGCGTTCCCGCGATCTTCTTAGAAAAAAACGCCGCTTGCAGCCGACCGGGTGAAAGCCTAAAGGCAGTGAAACAGGTTAAAATGGCGTTTTACTGCAAGCAATCAGCAACTATCTAGCGTTAACGCTAACTGATCTATCGTTAAATATCGCTTAGTTGTGGATAAAAAGCCAACGAACCTGTAAATGTAAAAATAAATGTTTCCACCGCTGCCTCAAAACCCCTCCCCTCACAGTTAGCTAAATAAACATTATACAGATAAGTTAGCCAGTGTCTAAAAATGTCCGTCGAAATGGCGAAATTTTAAATGAGGTTTTTACAACTCTCGGAGTTAAACTCACCTTCCAGTTCTTTGCAAGCAGTGCCTGAATCCACACAACCGCAACCAAAGGCAGAAACCGTCGACTCAGTGCGTGGCTGAAATCAATTTTGGACTGTTTTTGTTTTGTTTTATATGTCTGTATTTGTGTGAAAGAGCAGGCTGCAATAAAGACGGTTAAAATAACGAAAACATGCACACTGATACCTTAAGCAACTGCTCATTACTCTGTTAATAGACAGGAAGAAGAGGTGTGGTCTGTTCAATAACTTTTCAATTTAAGTTTATTGTACTTCAAATTATTTGCACATTGGACTATGCCAACAAATTAGTAGAATATACTTAAAATTATAAAGTGATATCATCAAACTTTTTTGTTTTAGTGTATTATGCTTAAATATTTAAGTAGAAACTAAATCCGGGCTAACAGTGTGAATGTTGCTATATCGATACACTATATTGCAAAATTTCTGATATTGTGTTTTTATGCTAAGTTAGTACTGAAGTGAATGAGCAGCTAAACAATAACAAACTATAATTTTTAGATTCTGCTAAGAAGTCCAATCGACTACTGTTTTCTGATCAAGTGGGGCTCTTCCAATGAGAAATTGGCACCAAATCTGCCCCTGTCAAAATGCACACATGGTAAAATTCACAACCAAACACAAAACCATCAGTTCTTTGTTCTTAATCATCTCTCATCAGAAGTGCTAACCATGCATGTGCTCTTGGGCCATTTTCTCGATCTATTCTTTTTCTCTCTCCTCCCATCCATCTCGCTCTTTTTTTTACCCCCTCAGATCTGTCCTTGAATAACATCAAATGTGTTGTTTAACCATAAAGCACTGAACACAAGTGCACACTGGGAGCAGACGGCTCTAATTAGTACATGCGCACACAAACATGGACAGTGCATTCAGAGGCCAGACGGCTTTAATTAATACACAAGGCCCGTGTGTCTCCAGATCCCCAGACCTCCTGAAAAATACCACTGCCAAAATATTTATCAATGCAGACCTCCGTGGCTCACCGTGGCCTGGAATAATCAAATAAGCCAAGAATTCAGAGTAGATCCAATTTGCTCCAGAAGCACCTCTACGTCTGAGATTGCAGACCTGTTCTAATCTAGTATTGACCTGTGTTTCCAGTGATACAAATGCTAGGGGTCCGAAGAAATGTTTAAATGCATCTCTTGTTTACATTCTTGTTGGCTATTGAGCTTTCTCTTCTTTACATTCTGTTTATTATTTTTTTGTGAGAGGAACGCATGACTATTGTGGAATTAATTAACATATTATTGATGACATGTCTCTGTCTAGCATATATATACATACATATATATATATATATATATATATATATATATATATATATATATATATATATATATATATATATATATATATACATACATACATACATATATACTTACATACATATATATATATATATATATATATATGTGTATATATATACACACACATATATATATATATATATATATACATACATATGTATATATATGTATATATATATATGTATGTATGTGCGTGTGTGTGTGTGTGTGTACATATATATAGTTTACCTCAATGTCTTTGATTCAGTCAAAAGTAACTCGATTCTTATCCCTTCAGTATGTTCAGGGAAGCACAAATTCAGACCGATTTGCTTTCTTCAAAAATGTATGATTACAAAACTTTGTCAAAAGCTTCACATCTTTTTAACTTCAGAGGTCTGAGGGCTTGTTACACTTTTAAATTTGAACTCATTTATAGTGGGCCTGGCTGAACCTTCGCAGTCCTATCAAACTTACAAAACAGTTGCAAAACCTAAAAATCAGACATGAGCAATTAGCTTATGCAACATTACTCTAAACGAAGTCATGTGTTTAGATGTTTGCACATCAAAAGTGCTGATGACTCCTTGTGTCGAGCGACTTTCAAAGTAACATTTAACAGCAGTCCCTCCTTTGATCATAAGATGCTCATCTAAAATGCAGAAACTAATGGATAAAAAGAGACAGAGAGAGCACTGTGTGACAAGCGATTAACTTGTTGGATAATGGGATAGACCTAGATTAATGTGTCAAATCAATTTCAATTATTGTTGAACAGATGTAAAGCCAGAAAATATCCATATCCATTGTGTATTTTGATCTTGCTGGGTTGAAAAAACACTCCATTTTCTCAAAGTGAAATCCAAAATTTTGCAGTAAGATTAAGGCATTGAAATAAAAGTCTAAACAAAGTTCTGCTTAATGATTTTTTAATGTATATATTTTTTGTTGTTGTTTTTGTAAGCATGTAAGCGAGTCCCCGTTGTGACATAAAACAAGTACACAGACACACACAAAAGAAAAATCATCGCAGATAAAACTACAAAATTTGAAAATGGATATATTCAGTATATATACGCTATTTATTGACATCCCGCCTTTTTTATTTAAAATTATTAATTATTTTTTAATAAAATTTTGGGTAAACCTACCCAAAGATTATTGCTCCATCTCTTTCTTTTTAGGGCCTTTTGTTTCGTCTCTCTGTGCAACAAATTTTTTAAGAGACACGGCCTTGCTTTTTAATCTCCACTGCTACAGAAAGTAAGGATCAGAAAGACCACGAGCAAGGTTTGAGAGACATAAAAAGATCCAATTGAATAGAGTCCAAATGCTTGAATTGATTGACTCAGATTAGCTGCTTCTGTCTCAATCTGCCTCCCTGCACTTAATAGTTTGACGCCTGAGTTACACGAAGACAGAACTGGCATCTACACTGTCGTATATCAAACACTCTATTCATGCGGTGACACCTCCACTTTTAAAACAATTACCTCAACAAACGAGCGAGCCGTTCTGTCATTGAGGGCTATTATTAGGTCAGAGTGGGTGTGTTCCAATCAGAGTGATGGGGCTTTGAAGAGAGAATTAGGACATTGTCAGGCAATGATTTATTTTCTAACCGCGAGAGAGGAGAGATAGACAAACAGAGAAAAGAGAATAAAACAAGATCTCCGACGCATTCACTTCAATTACCACATTTACACTAATGGAAGCGTTCAACTAACTTGAATGGTATGCTGTCAGCTGTTACAAAAGAATAGGACAGAAATGTCAGTTTCTTTATATCTGATACTGATAGAACAGCAGGTGTGAATAGAAACCGTGCAGTAAGCTTCCTTTGACTGGAAATCAAACAGGATCCCAGGGCTGTCAGTGATTTATCTACATTCCCCTTATTATGCATACATTTATATTAGAGTGACATACTTGGTGAAATAATCCTTCATCATCCTCTCACCTGCCTATCCATCCACCTGACCTTACACCCACCTACTCATCCATCCATTCGTACATACATCCATCCATCCATCCATCCATCCTTCCACAAACTCTTAGAAATAAGGCACGCGAGCTGTCTCTAGGGTGGTACCTTTTTAAAAGGTACACATTTGTACTTGAAGGGTCCATATTGGTACCTCAAAAGTATATATTAGTACCAAAAAATTTTAAGAGGAACACTTTTGTACTGTTTAGGTACTAATATGTATTCTTGAGGTATGAATATGGACCTTTCAGGAACAAATTTGTACCTTTCGAAAAGGTACCACCCCAGTGACAGCTCACGTACCTATATTTCTGAGAGTGTAGGATATGGGTAGGATAACTAGCTGAGCGATTTCTTAGGAATTAAACATAAAGAAGGGTCATAAATATTAGAAACCATGAAGGGTTTCATCATCAACATATGTACACTGAATTATTCTCTGAAAGGTAAGAAGGCATTAAATGAAAACGGCCATTCCCATTTGTCTTATTATTATTATTATTATTATTATTATTATTATTATTATTATTATATATTATATTATAATATATAAGTATATATTAGTGGAACACTTTTGTACTGTTTAGGTTCTAATATGTATCCTTGAAGTATGAATATGGACCTTTCAGGAACAAATTTGTACCTTTCGAAAAAGGTACCACCGCAGTGACAGCTCACGTACCTATATTTCTGAGAGTGTAGGATATGGGTTTGTTAACCCTCATTGGCATGAATTTTTGTTTTAGGAGGAAAAAAAATTTCACCCTAAGTTTTCAATCATAAATCAATGATAAAATGTGTTCCTCCCACCAGATTTTGTTTGTTGCCTCATGGAAACAATGTGCAGTTAGGGCACTAAAACACCAAGGTTTTCAATATATTTTTATATGTGAAATGAGGTACAAACAAGCCATAAACACATTAGAAACTGTTTTAATGTAACATAAACAATATTCAACAGATATT